ATGAAAAGATAGAGATTAGGATTAAAAAATTGATTATTAAATGTAACCCTATCTTTGCTGAATATTTTTTGCAAAAGAATTGATCCACAAGGACTTGCTTGGATTCACATGAAGATTTTTTTAAAAAAATATATATATTTGTATCAGGATACAGTAAGATACATGGACTTCAGTAAAAGGGAGGCATATAAACCTGAGCAAGCTAATAAATATATTTTAAGCCAATGTGATTTTATGAAAATAATGTTTAAAGAATGGCAACCTGTAAATCTGTTTAAATCAAAGGTAATTCTCCAGTATTAAATAAAACTGAAATGAGGCAAATTCTTAAAAACCTTAAGAATCCATGGCAAGAGAACTTAGAGTTTTAACTTAATAAATTAGTTTAACACTGTTTATTATATGAATTCCACTTTTATCTTTTTCAGCAGTTTACTGATAATTGCAATACATTCAATTAAATATGTGGTAGCCCAGCCTTAAAAATTATATTGTATTTGTCAAAAATTTCTAGAATTATAGTATTGTGCATATCTCTAATGAAAATACTCATGATATGACTCATTCTGGATGAACATTTTAAAGAAAATTGGACAAATTACAAAACAGTCTTTTATACTCAGTGTTAATTTATTTCTATTTTCTCCAAATTATATAAAATGATGATTAATTTTTTTAAAAAGCAAAGAGTTTTGAAAGATTAAATGTTTTATCTACATTTAATCTCAATTTTTATTTATATCAACCAACTATTTCTTTACAGATTGTCTTCAACTACATATCTTTTTGATTAGAAATTATAAGTTTACATTTTAAAATAAATATATTTATCTAAATTACAAATTACACTGCACATTTATTTTGTTGTTTGCGTTTTCTGAAGATATTTTTCATTGTTTTGTTCCTTTTTTTATTTTAGTATTTTACTAATGTGCTGAAATATTTTTGAAGAAATATTTGAATAGCCCCTTTTTTTCCTCCTAGTGCATTAGGATTATTAGAATTGCTGCATAGCAGTACCTCCCTGAATGGCTTTGTCTTAATGCAATGGGCTTCATCACTATCAATCTTTTAAACAAATTCATTAACAGTATCAAAAGAAGGATTACTGATTAAAAACACTGAATTCTCAGATTCTAGCCAGAATAAAATTACACTACGGATGTAATCTACTTTTTAAAGAAATGCAGTACACTTATTTCAATGGGCAAAACAAACAGAAAAAAACCCAGCAAAAAATGAAATGGAAGTAGCCAAAATAAATGCATTTGTATTTAATGATCAGTTCTATATTTTTATGTATTAATACAAAGTAGAAAACATTATATTAAAACACAAGGGCTAGATAATTAGTCGATCTAGCCAAGTATTACCAGCTCTGAAGGACAATAGTATATGCCCTAAGGCAACAATCTCTTATTCAGTCCTCTTGAGGTAGAATGTGGGACTGTCTACATGCAGCATATATTTTATACTCTTGAGCTATGCCCAGGTATGTTGTGTGCATATGAGATTAAGAAAAAGGGAAAGAGATGTAGAAGGAGCAAGATACTGTACAAACATCATCCCACAATGTGTGTGTTCAATATTATATAAGGTGCCTGAAACTGCACTGCTAGAATGATTTCAAAAATTAGTTGCATACTGTATGAAATAAAATAGCCAACATTTCCTTTGTACTTTTACTTTTTGTTTGCTTATTTGTTTAAATCACAGTCTAAAAGATGGTCTCAAGCATTACAGACTAATTTTAATAAAACTTACAAAAGTTTCCTATTTTTATTTTAATAATTCCATTGACCAATCATTAATATGACTGCCATGTAATTAGTATGTTACTGGGGTATTAATATTATAATGGGTATTAGTATCATAATTTTATAAGCAGTCCTTTGAGATAATGGTAAAATTAAGAAATGTTAGTGCTCAATCAGAATGCAAACTATTTCGGTGTTAATTATTCCCAGCTCTTCCATACCGTTTTAATTTGCAAATTACTGTATCTACTCTAAGCTTTATATTATATACTTACAATATACCCATGCAAATAATCTAGTGTCTAATAAATTAAATCTGGACAAAACTGAGGCTTATTAGTTTTAACAATCAAAAGTGGAAATTATTCATTTGTGAGATATTTCCAGGAGTTCAAGAATTATTTCTTTAAAAACAAAATGGTTTTTCCTTTAAAAAAAAACACAGGATGTTTCATTTTGCATCAGTACAGATTCTTCTTCATATGAAGGATATATAATGTACTTGATACATAACATAGTCTATAAAAGTTCATCCTGTAATGAAACATATGAATGTAACATTGACTATATGTATAAATATTATATCAATTGCAGCAATTGCATTAATCATATTTATCTTAAGACATAAGCATTAAGTATCTTTTCAGACTTTAACACAAAAACTTGGATTTTACTTCCTTAACTCTATATCCAAGACCAGTGTAAGGAAAACCAAAGGCCACTTCACATAAAGCCCAAAAAATCCAAAGTGGGCTAAACAGATCTGCAGACTCACTTCAAAACCATTGCTTGCCTGTTACATTAAAAAACCATCTCCAACCTAGGGTTTCATTTATTTGGTAAATGCAAATCTTTCAAAAGTTAACCGTTTGGCATATTCAACATTTTTTAAAAAATGCGAAGAGATAATGCAAAACTGCTTCTACACATTCTCAGACCATTCAAATGTGTTCAAATATAAGCTTATTGATTAGGAACAATAATTTTGTAATTTTTTTGCATTTTCTCTGGAGGTACTAAGAAGAAAAAAAGTGAAGTGGAAAAACCACCGACTTGAATTTGTAAGAAAATAGGTAGGAAGAACAGTCTCTAAACAGGAGATCCTCTTTGTACTACATATAAAGTCCTGAATTTATTTGGATCAATTCTAGATATGATTATTTAGCCTTATTCATTTGTGAAATGGATGTTTCAACCTCCATATACTGTGACTCTTCTCTCCAGGCACAGCAAGTCAGCATATTTAGGTCCACTTTGTATTCCATGTAACTATATTGCCAGCAGTAGTGTGCACGGTGGTCTCACACAGGGCAAGTGATGTCCTAGCAAAACCTGTGTGAAGTCTACTTTATAATACCCAAGAGAGGAAATATCCCTTTAGCTCTCAATTAGTGCTGACAAATCCATGTCTTTATGCACTCAGCTATATATGTTATGGCCTTTGAGATGCTTGATTCCTTTCCTATATAAACTGTGCCCAGTGTGTGTGAAGGTTACAAGAAGGTTACAAGTTCTACTGTTAGCCACTAATATTTTTGGTTCTGTATTGTACTGGGCATAGACTATCTATTTCTGGATCTTAAAAAAATGAATGTTCAGCTTCAATCCTCTCTTTTATCATTAAGTTTACATTACAATATTGAGGGTGTTTCTCAAACGCAATCACAAGTACCAAAAATCTCTTTTTAAAATATAAATAACAATAATAAAGTCTTAAATCAAGATTAAGATTTTGTAAATTTCTGGAAACTCATAACAGGCCTCCAAGAATCTGAAAAATCATATTGTTTTAGACATTCTATTTAATTAGTCAAATAAAAGTGTATATGTAAAATGATGCAGAAAGATCACAAATTCACCATAATAAAGATATTGGCTCATTCACCAGATTCAAATTAAGGAATGGAATAATGGGGAAGAATGTTAGTCAGCTGCTTATAATGGAATGTTGGTATAATGCACCCCATTCAAATACTCCATTCAAAACTTTTCATTCAAAACTTTTAAAAGTTTTGAATTAGCTAACGTTGTTTATAGTTGCAGCAACTAAATTCACTTTCACATATATTTACATGCAAGCCATGCCCAGGATTATAAATACAACAGCATAATCCTGAACCCTCCATCAAATAGCTCTGACTGGCATTCAGGGTTTCAAACTGCATTACCACTTCCCTTTCCCTGTTACTGCACAGAAAGCTCTTCTTGATGATGAATTAGAGGAGGCAGCTGGGGTGAACAGGAGGAAACCAGCTGAAGTACAGGGAAGACAAAAAAAAATCTGCTAAATACACAAATATCTGGACCATGAGAATGTCACCAGACTGACTGAATTATGACCAAATGCTTCAGTGACAAGAGAGAATTTCCTTAACCTAAGAGTCTCACATCAGATGCTTATACATCTGACAAGATAAAATTGCTCCCCATACACACATATCCCATGCCACATGGATTCTGTAGCTTCAGAACATCTTTATTCAAGGAATGGAGGGGAGCTAAATGATGGATGTTTGACCTTCCTTGTCTCCCAAACCTACAAGCAAAGACCTGCCCCATTCCTATTCAAACGTATCGGAAACAAATATTCAAAAATCTTGGTTTAGAAAGACATCCAAGTTTTGATGGAGACTCTCTAGAAAATGTGCCATATTCTATTTATGGGGGGGGGGAGCTGTCCTGCTTTAAGGAACCTTGTTAAAAGGAATATGACTTTTAAAGCATAGGCTTCTTTTTTTATTTAGAATTATGTCAACCTGGTTTAACAAATAGAAGAGAGATGCTGCACATGTGTGGTCTGATGTGCTTTAGCTAAATCATTTTCAAATATAGAGGGCCCAGATATAAGGCCCGTACTTAATTCTGCTAACTTGCAGCGATTGAGAGCTGGCAGATAAATACCCAGATCTTGCAAGCTAGACAGTGGATACTCCTTCTCACACTAAATAGAAAAAGAAATGGTGCAACAGAAAAGAAATATCTGTTTTATATTATTTAGATGTCCAGAAAGAAAACAAATATCAAGTCTCTTAGTTCAGAGTTACTACATATTGAACAGAATAAATTAACATTAGCCAGATTGTTGTTTTTGTTTTAAACAAGAGGCTGAAGAAAAAAAATAACAAAAGAATAGATGCAACAATAAGAAACAAACTAGAATATTTCTTTTAGTTATACACATAGGAATACTTTGTTGGTCAGACAAATGTAAGTTTACCTATTTCTCCTCTTTTTCTTGCATAAGATAAAATATCTCAAAGACTAGTCTTTGAACATGTATTATATGCATTTTCTGCTGTAACTAGAATGTTTTCTACACAGGTGTCATTTTATACATGATCTGGACTTGACTTACTGTTAGATGCTGGAACAGCCATGCCCTCATGATATTTGTGGCTACTTTGGGAAAGATGCCGCGCTTTTTATGTCGCTTTTTGTCCTTATCTGGATCATCATCATCACCTGTGCTGGGAGAAGCTACACTGTTGTCCAAGCCGTCACCTGTAAATATAATGAATCAAATGTTTCACTTTAGCTATCTTGAGATTCTATGATTAAAAACTAATTTGGATAGGTACATTACACACCCAACATATGCACCAAACACACATGAACAATCATAGACCTAATGAAAATTCACAATGTATTTCATGAAATAATATTAAACCTATCGTGATCTTTTTTTTGCTGTTGTGAATTCTAAATCACAACTGCAGCACAACATCATCTATTTTCTGGTTGCAACTCTTAAAGATGTTCCTTCAAGTTTAAGATGCTACCCATTAAAGCTGAGGTTTTCTGAATGCCAATAATGTGCTCTCTCACTGAGCTACACACCATATATCCAAACCAGATTGAATTTTTATAGACTTTTTAAACAATGCCAAGCACTTACAACTAAAGCTATTTGTAAATATGGAAGACATTATTTGGGACCATGTCTGGGAGATTTAAATAAGGTGAATCACCATTACAAATTCAATGTTTTCAATTCTGATGAGAGGTTACATGATATTCTCTTCTCACATGAAGATCAGAATATAATTATTCTTTGGACTTTTCCATTTGTCCAAAGGTTGATATGCATTCTCTGTTTCTCATAAAAAGGATTCAAATTGCATTAAGATGCATCTATCTTTTAGGGAAAAAATCCTTGGTAAGGTGTACTTAAGATAAGCCATATATAAATATTTATTTTAGGAGTTAAAAAAGAGCCGCACATATTTAAATAAAACTTTTGTTATGCTTTTTTTCAAATTCTCATATAAAAACAAAAACAGAGTCAAACTAAATTATGAATGGGCACGTGCATACCAGGGGTAGCCTGGAAATAAAATGATTTATTCAACTCTTATCATTATTACACCATCTACAATCACTGTATATCCATCAAGAGCCTGCCTATCTGAATTTTATTAGTGAAGTTCAAACTCACCAGTTTATTTATAGAAACCAGTTTTTATTTATGCTGTAATTTTAGCTTATTTTTCATACTGCAAGAAACACAGCAGGAAGGCCAGCAGTTAAAACCTGTAAAGCATTTTTCAGAATAGCTTAGAATAATTTCTTATATTTCAATTTCATCTTTTTCATATAGACAGGATGTCAAATTGGAGCTCCCACTGTCACAATCTTTATGAGCATTCATGTTTTGATCTAATTTAGGCAACTACTATCAATAAAAGAAACACTTAGAAAGCCTTTGTTTTAAACAGGCATTTTAATTCTTCAAAATAACGATCGAACGTGCAATCTTGTAAGAATTCATTCTTTAAAAAAAATGAGTGTGACTATCTTCACAAAAAGCTCTTTGCTTCATGAAAGTTCAACTGAGGCATTCATATTTCTAAAAAGGAACTCTTTAGATGTCTTAGGCTGATAAAAAGTCTTTGAAAGGTTTTATTCAGAGAAGCAATTCCCCATATAAAGTAATGATTCATAAAATAAACATAAGCAAACAACGGCATTTAAAATTTCCCTGTACTAATCCACATTCTCTCGTCTGATGGGCAATTAAAGAGAGGCAAGGAAGGAGAAACGTGGTTAAAAGTAAAAGGGTTTCCAACCTGATGACATCCTATTGCTTATTCTTTTTTTAAATATACTTTCAGCTCCCTTACCACCCATCCACCCACCCCCACCCTGGCTTCAAATTATTTTAGCAAGCCATGCCTTGTGCCTGGATAGAAGAGAATTCATTGATAATTTATGGAAATATCTACTATAATTCAATGGAGATTTTTTTTCCAGCTTTGTGCATCAATAGATAATCAAGGCCTCAAAGCAGCCTTAGCTTAGCATTACCTCAGGCCAAAGAATTCCTGAAAGCATGCCTTCGGGGCACCTGAATTATAGACTCCATTAGGAGGGGGGAGGCTTTCTGCATTCCATGAAGAACACTCCCCCAGAACCTTTCCTGTTTATTTCTGCTGTATGAAAGCAGAAACATTAGGAACAGAAACCACCACCGCCACCCCTTTTTGAAAGGGGAGGCTTATGGAGATACAATGGAAAAACCTTTCAAGCAAGACCCAGATCACCTCCCGTCAGTCCCAGGCAGTGACCTATCCCAAATAAAAGATTTCTGTTACATCATTAGCTCAAGCCAGAAACAGCCTTGGCTTAATGCACAGTTTGTTCTTCCTACTGTTTTTAGGCAAATACAGCTACTTTACTCCCATCTGGGAGGGAAATTATACTGCTGGGTTGTAATCTAAGACAAGGTTTTCATTGGAAGCAAATGCTTTCAATCCCATGTAAAATACTTGTGCACGCTCAGAGAAGCTTAAAACAATAAACTCCAGCCCAGTCTAACAGAAGATAAAAGAAGGATAAGAGGGGAAAAAAGCAAATTAACGAAACAGGGTCCTTTAGAAGAAATTACTTCTATAGATTTTAATACAATTGTTTCGGGGGGGAGGGGGAAGGATTCGGAAACTTGATTCTTTGTAAAGGAAAAATCTCAGCTAAAAGTCTAAACAGCATGTCCATTCACTCTGCAATTCAATACTGTCACCTCTATAAAGTCTCTTGAGAATACTTTTCCTCTTCTGCTTTCTCTACCCTACTTTAAAAAAAAAAAAAAAGGACTCGAAGACTCACTAACTAACTAACCACATGGTAGCAACTATGAACCACGTTTGTGAAATGTCAGCGGTGACTTCATGCTTGAAGTTGACTTCTCCCACTGCCAATGAAGGCAAGCTGAAAAGGTGGAAATAATCATAAAAATGATGCTAGTCCATAAACAAGCTTACAGCCTCATTAGTATAGCAGTAGATTCCACTGGGTGATTTATACTCGTTTTGCTGATGCCATGAGGAAATGCCATAGGGCAACTTCAACCAACTCCTAATGGTTTCTGACAGCTTCTTAGCAACTAGTGCAAGCAACGCTGTGGCGTTTGCTAGTAAGAGAAACTGAAAATGTCATATTATCTGTCCATGTGCCACAATGTCCATGTGGCAATTAACTAGTAGTCCAGTGACTGAGGGGCCAGAGGCTTTTAAAAATGCCCCGTGGCTATATAAAGGCATTGCTTGAATTTGCGTTGCGCATATATGCAAGTTTCTAATGCAAAAGTGTGGTTGTCACTGGCATCTTTCTCATGGCCATTGATGAGTTAGGCCTGCACAATATGCTATTGGAGGGGCATATTTTGGGAAGGGAAATCCATTTCCTTTCTTCTTTCAACACTAATGACATTATCAGAGTAATTTAGCCATAAAAAGTACTTTGATAAGCCTTGCTTGTAAATAAACCTTGCTTGCTTGTTTGCTTGCAAAATACCTGGACCCCTGCTTTTGAACAATGAGTGGATGACAAAAAGAGCTAGTTCTTTTCTCCTTTTTCACAAATTAGTCTAAAAGGATTTGAGATCACTGAAGCAGACTCATTGCCTGTGAAATTGCTAGAAGCATAAGAACTGAGCATAGCAAGTAGACACTATTTAAGCAAAACAAAGCAATATAAAACACATACATCACAAATCTTACAACAACCAAAATGACAGCTATGGCTCTACAATGCAGTTTTTCAGATCTCGAAATAATGCAACATATGTTAAACTTTTAAACCCTTTTAGTGTAGCCCTTTGATCTTTCAAATAATATTTAAATATTACTTTTAAAATACTTTGCAGGTTGTGGTTTCGTGAAAGGGGACAACTAACAAAGATATTTGTACAACAATCTGCCCACATACAATTCCTCACAAATTCGGGGCCTAACCCGCAGAGCAGGGCAGATGACCTGTGACAACTCACAGATTGTCCTGAGGCTCAGATTTCAAACACACTTACCTCAAACAACTCAGAGTTGCCTATTTAAGCATACCCCAGCATTTAGGCTGTGCTATCTTGTTTCTTTCAAGACAGGATAAAGAAGCATTTATTGTATTCAAGCCATTCAGTGACTCAGACTGGCCATGTCAGCAGGGGTTCCTCTCATTCAGGTCAAATCTCTACCCCTTCTCTTCCTAAAAGTTCCCCTTTGGTTCTCTTGATTGTCCCTTTTTACTTCCCCTCCCTCCCAAGAAAGTTACACACAGAGAATGTATAGGAAAAAATCCTAGAATTCCTTTCTTCAGCAACGTTACTTTGAATGAGTTAAGGCTTGCAATGAATGCCAAAAATAACAAAAAAAGTTCTTTGACTTTTCTCTTGTTCCTTACATATCCCAAAAAAAAAGGTTCTTTGGGTATGCGAGGAACAAAAGTCAAGGAAACTGTCCATTGGTTGGAGAAGATGGCATGTTGGGGAGAGAGAACTAGAAGAAGGCTCAAATGCTAAATTCCAATTTGCATCTGCTTTTTAGAAAAGAATTTTTTTTTCAGGAGCTATACCATATGGGAGCAGAAGAAAAATGCAGGTTCAAATAGTCAAGGAAGTGAAAAGAAAATACCTAATTGTTCAAGTCACTAGGATCAGAGGGATTACATTTGAGGGTTACAAGTGGATGTGATCTCAGAACCACTGACTGTAATAATTGAGAAGTTATTAGTAGAAGCTAGCATAGGTTTATTAAAAATCATTCAGGCTAAACAAATCTTACTACTTTTTTTTAACAAGTGACTAGTTTAGTAAATAAGAGAATGCTGTGGATATAGTATATGTAAACCATAGTTAAGCATCTGGTATAGCTGATCACAGACTCCTCCTTGATGAAATGGAGCAGTTTGGGATGGGGGAATCCTATTATGAGATGAATTCACAGTTCTGAGGATGCATACCCAATGCATGGTCTTTAATGGATCTATCTTTACGCAGAGCGAAGTACCTCAGGGCTTTGGTCCTGAGCCCAGTGTTCTTCATTGTTATTATAAACCTTGGTTTTTCTTAATTCCCATGAGTAAAATTGATATGTTAACTACTACATGTTTAGAATATTCAGTTTTAAGAAAATCCGTATTTCGCTCTAATGTTAGCATCTTTGTAACATTATTATTCTTTAGAACAAACATCATTAGTGATGAGGCTCAAAATTTAGACTAAGGAAAACACT